TGGCCGTTAGAAAGAATTGAATTCATGCATGTATAAATGGGGAGAGAGAGAGAGATTCAGTTTTGTTAACATCTACTTTGTCTTCACAGATCTCTGAGAAATATGCGGTGCCTGTTGAAAAGATAGCCAAGGTTTACCAAAAAAGCAAAAAAGGGTGAGTCCAACTCAATAAAAACTGTTTCTTCTGCTTTTCACTTGCTTCCATGTCTGTTTGCTTGTTGGCTTAAGGTAGCTTTACATGCCAGCCAGTGTCAGTAACCCTTGCTAATGAGGAGAAGAAGAGATGAATAAATATGCCCGTCTTACATTTAGAAGGCATATTTTAGCATAAACCAAACTTCAGGACAAAACATTGAAATTAAATGAAGTTGTAGGGAAGCCGTGTGAAGAACAGCCGAGGGATCATGTATGTAGAAATCAATTTGCAATAGAGACATGAGCTGACCAGATCAGTTATTACCGTTAAATGTGTTTACTGTCTTTCCCAGGCTCCTGGTGAACATGGATGACAACATCATCCAGCAATACTCCAATGAGGACACCTTCATCCTGGCTATCGAGAGCTCAGCAGACTCCTGGCGTGTGACTCTGTCGGAGATCTGATGGCTACTAACCCCTGCACTGTCATACTCATTATGCTCCAGACGGAGGTTGATCAGTGCCTGGTGACTCTTTATCCATTTCATGTGCACAGACTCATGAACGCTGTTATCAGTGTCGTATGCTGGAGCCAAACTGTTCTTTGAAGTCACACGGGAGTCTCTGTAGGCTTTCCTGTCCTGCATGGATCATTTTGAACATTGGCTCTGGGGACACAGGCTCAGCAAACGTTGAAAACTTGTGGATTTGTTTTTAGGTTAGGAAAAATCTTTTGATCTTTCCTAGCAACCTTACCAGCTGGCAGGAATGCAGTTGTGAACCCTTTTTGCCCAGCTGTCACTAAAAACAGGATTCATCCCGGTCCGCACAAAGACAGCAGCAGCTCTCTGTGGTGTCAGGAAGAAGACGTCATAACAGATTAACAGCACAGAGCACTGCTCCGGGCTTCTCCTGCACCTTCTGTTATCCTCCCTGTACTTCCTCCTGTGATCGAAACTTTGAAATGACGTGACGGGCATTTGAAAAGCCTTTGCAACACCTTTGAGTCGCGTGGCACTGCTCTTTGCTCGCTACCTTCCTAATCAATTTTAGACATGTCTCGACTTTAATCTGAAGTGATGGTACTTTAACTCTTATTAGCATCCATTATGTTATTATTTTTTGATTGGTTATATTTTTACTGCATGCTAAATGTTTCCTGTTGGTGCCAGTGAAAAAATAACAGTTATTTATCCCAGATTGTAACTACATGCCGCTGTCCTGGGATCTATAATTAGATTGAGGCACCGTTATAGAACAGGACTTCTGGTCTAAATTGCTCTTGTTAAATTGTTCTGCTTCCTCTGTGTGTGTGTGTGTGTGTGTGTGTGTGTGTGTGTGTGTGTTAATTGCTTTTCCTCTCACTAAAGAGACTGCAGTCATTAGTATTTATGACATTCGTTAGGGACTCGCAGGGCCCGGCCGCTCTATCCGTTTACTCCTTTGAGGCTGCAGCAGCCGATCAGAGCACAGCAGCGGAGCGATCCTGCTCCAGCTCGGTGCGTCTGCCTGTATCCTTCATATACTTCACATGCAGTGAAGTACAATTTTTACGATGTGCAAATAAAAAAATAGTTTTCTATAAAGTCACTTCTTTCTGCTTCTGCCAAAATCTACAGCGTGCGTTTTTACAGCTCAACAGTGGCTACAACTGTCACCTGAAGTGTGATGTTTTCAGGTTTCCCTGTCTCATTTATGTAAATATAACATTTAGGAACTCCACCGATAAAATAGACATCCGAGATGTGTTAAAAACTGTTACCAAATCAGTTTTACACCCATCCCAAGTGTCACAATATGAAGGCAAAATCACACATGCTGTGAGCAGCCCTCTGATTGGCTACATCATAGTTCGGATGGCAAAACTGCATGAATTTAGTATCTTAACAGAAATGAGCACTGGTGTTCTGCATTTTGAATCAGTTTTCTGATAATTCTCTGGGGAAAACTTTAAGAAGGCCATTGAGTAAACATTCGTAAGCAAACTTCTCACGTGGGATAGGTCAGAGCAAGTTGTACCGGTGTCCTTTAAACTGCGTTTTAATACCAGACTCGTCTTCTAGCTGTTATTCATTTTATGTCAAAACAGCTTTCTAATAGGCATATTTTAACACTCTCACATGGCGCTGTGAAATGGAGAAATGACGCCTCTATGTAATGTTCTGTATTACAGTTTGGACAGATCGCACTGATGGATCAACTTTAGGTCCTGAACATGGTTTTCAAAGTCTTTGGAATTTGAACATGTAGAAGGGCCTGATCACAATTGATGTTGTTGCTCCGTTGCCTGTTCACACTGTAATGAAGATGACGTGTCCAATAGAGGTGAATTATCTCACCTTTATCTTATCTGCTTACCATCATGGTAATTTAAGGGTTTGTAATTTGTGAAATTTTCATAGGAAATCAGTCAGTTGACTTCCATCACTTCCCCCCACGGCTTAGCCTTGAGATAAACACTCCCAAATTAGAAACTGAGGGGAAATGGAATAACTTAAGATGTTAATTGATTTAAATATTTGCAATTACAGGAGTGGAAATGTAAGTCAGTATCTAATATGTACACCTGTGTAGCCAATTTATTACAACACTGGTTTACCATAATCAATAGCGTTCACACTGCACTGCTTAAAAGCCTTTTGGAAAAAGAATTGGAAAACACCATACATATTCATACACATCCTATTCATGTCAAACGCATATACTGGTTACCAGTGCACATCTACAGTACGTGTATTAATGTTACTGTACCATTAAAACAAACTAACAAAAACAAACCCCAAACGGATCCTGAGGCAGTCAGGTAGGATGCAGTCATTGATTCATTTATTTTTTTAATTGAATGATCTTTGTTGTGATCACTGTAACCTAACACAACACATTTTGGTCATATCAAATTAACATACTTAATTATGCACAAAGGTCACATTGATTTTTACAGGTTAATTATACTTTTGTTTGGTAATAGTGCAATTATATGGTAAAAATTGGTATCTGTATAAAAAAGGCTGAGCATGACCTTAAAATGAATGTAAGCAGTCACATTCTTTAACTTCCTAAGTCTAAGGTTTTTAAAATGTAGCACAAAAAAAAATATTGTTAATGAGTTACACAAAAGTCGTACATTTCTATTGTCAAAATGTACACAGTGGTTTCAAACAGTGTACTTGGAAACTAACTGATCCAGGGATGTGTCTATATATAAGGTTTCCTTTCACATGTTAAGGATTTGAAACTGCAGCTATTATGACGTGTCACTTACAGGCTAAAAGGAGCTCACTGGGCTCATTTAGAGTATGCACTTGTAACTTTGCAAAAGTCTTTTCTGTGTTTGTTAACATACAAACCTAAGCCATATTTCAGAGTTTGTTAACCCTCCTTAAAGAAACTCTGTAAAGTAGTACCTGCCTTGAGGAGACCTCAGGTCAGCTGGAAGCAACATTATACAACAGGATCAACGAGCTTCTGCCAGCTCCACAGGAGAATGTAATCGAGGAAATATTGCAGCTCTATCAGTCTGCTATAACCTGCTGGAAAGCTTCAATGTGTTTCTCCTTGCAGTCAAGAATCATTCAGTGTGACAGGTTAACTGTGACAGGAAGCTGAACGGAGTAGTTTTCAGTGGATGCTGGAAATGGTACAGACAGTCCTAGAAAGAGCAGTTTGGGTCAAAAATTGTATGTAATTGTAGTCATGCTAGTGATGTGACTGTGTATCAGAATATTGATGATCTCTCACTTCAGTTCAGACTGAAATCTTTAATCGGTGACTCCATTGGCATTTTTAGTCATATCATAAAATACTGGCTACAGGTGTACACCTCAGTGGTTTCTGAGGTTTTTGACTATGCTAGCATGATTAACAGTTGCCTAGTGGTCTTTGCATCACATTGCACAGCAGTTTTAGCACTTTTAGGAATATAACCAGAATTCAACCAGCTAGCAGCCAGTTGAATTGAGTCCCCTCAAGTTGTGCTCATTGACTGATGGCAACATGTTTATGAATTAGACAGTAATTTTTTCCAAACCTCCAACAATGTCTCTGAGAGTGTTTGCAATCAGCCCAAGTCAGGCTTTGCAGAAAGATTGCATCTGGTGATGCCTTGCAATGAAAGGTACAGTAGTTGTGAATGTGCAACAATCTCGAGCTCTGAGGTGTAAAGATATCCCAAACATTTTGCTATTAGCTTATTGGGAATCACCTCATTAGTGATTATCTCAAATAATATCTTGTAATGTTATGTTGACTCAACTAAAGGTGGTAACAGGCTGCCAGTAACAAAGTGCCTGAGATACAGTTATTTGCAGGTAGGAACACTGGTTTGAGTGGTGAGTCAAGGATGCCACTGAGGTGAAAAAGTAACAACCTAAATGCTTTATATATACTGTAAGATCTTTTACATCTTACAATGCTGTGATTGCAACCATTCCCCAACTCTCGGTTAAAAGTGCTAATGGCCACTGATCAATTTACATATTAATGATCATGAAACTGACCCCGCAGCCCATTGTTAGTTGGTCATTATGCAAATGTACTGTTTATAATGTTGTGGAAACCTGCTGAGACTGAAGAAGTCACTTGGATAAGTGACAAAACTTTTCTCACACGTCCAGATGAACCAAATCAACTTTCTGGGATCTGTGGAACTGAAATGAGTGAAAAAGAAAAACTTTGAAAGAGCTTCAGAAAGTTTGGCTCCTTGGAAGGGAAATCTAAAGAGTGTTTTGTCAGACAATAACACCGTGACACAGTGTGGAGTGGGAGATTTTACAGTAGAAACTAATGCACTGGTCTGTGGTGGAGTGACTGTGACACAGTGTCTGCTCATCTTCCACATTTCTTGTCACTTATTAGCCAACATGTACACAGCTAGCAGTTTGTCTTTAATCATCTAATTCCACAATATTCCACAATTAAGCAAACACCACATGATTACTTGCACACAATATATTGTAAATTTAATTCTTGCCTTTGAATTTGACCCCAAAAGAAGAAAACAGAATCCTGTGTTCCAAATCTGTAGTCACTAAATACAATATACCATACAAAACCTACAAAATGCAACAATTACAAACATTTTGTTCAACGCTGAACAATTGTACAGTATAAATTTATACAATACTGTTTTTTTTTAATTTTATTTGGCACTTGACCACAAGATGCTTTCTTTACATTTTAACAGAAACGATCCACATGACAGCGTTTTTCTTAAAAAAAAAAAAAAAATCATAAAAAAATAATAAATGTGACACATTATGACAGTATCATTGCAGTAGTTGTGATTCTGTTTGTTGCTATGCATCTTTTTTCTCTTTACATAAAAAAACCAAACAGCAGTTATTAGCTTTTTCTAATTGGAACATGTTGCAGTTACTGAAATGGCTCGGCTGGGGCCTGGAGGAGGGCGGGGTTACATTCAGGGGTGGAGAAGTTTGGTTTTTCTCTTTTCAGGTTTTCTTTGAAAGCAGAGTGAAGAATAGAGAGACAAAGGAGAGGAGCACGGATTGAAATTATGATATTTATCCTGCGTGTGAGACTGTGGGGCCGCTGCTCACGGTGTGTCACGTGGCGCCGTGTTGGAGACACGATTGGATGGTGATTTAATGATGGAGCTCTCAGCTCTGATAGCTTAGTGCTTGTTTACAGTTGCCTCACTGATGTTGTGCAGGGAAGTCAACCTAAAGAGCTTCTTCTGTAAACCTACAGACGCGTCAGCTTTGTCGATCCACACTCGGTCAATAACACTGACGACACAGAAGCGAGCACAGGGCTGAATAGCGCTACCGTCTTGTTTGATATCCATAAACACACACTAAGAACACACACATGCGTGTAAGTCACATGCATATGTGCTATGTTAGTCTACCCCCCCCGTACCCGACAACTGGTTCAACATGCTGCCTTTAAAAACATCAAAAGTGAAGAAAAAGCGGTTTTGTTCTTCACGCAATTAAAAGAAAAAAAGGTTTGCATGCTCGATATCTCGCCACAGCTTAAATAAACAAAGATTTAAAAAAAAAATTATTATTATTATTTCACGACGTTTGTTCATTGAGCACTGAGCGCTCTGGACTACATGGGTTTGCTATACAAATGTAGAGATGCACTTTAAAATATCTACACGGTACTCAAATACTTGTTAAGACTACTTTTCTATTTCTGCCTTAAGCTAGCGCGCGGTGACGGCCTCTGCGTTGCCGCTGCGAAACACAGACAACGGAGCAGAGGGACGCTTTCTATCCTTCAGCGAGACCTCACAAAATGAAAACTACTGATCAGGGTGCTTATGCATAGTAGCGTAATATCACATGTTCTTGTTGGCCCAGCACAAAATATGAAACAAAGTCTATCAAGTCTGCAAAAAAAAAAAAAAAAATACACAAACACACGTACACACTCTCACAGTAGAAAAGAGGAAAGCGGTACTCGTTCCGAGTGAAGGACAAACTTCACAGGTCTTCTCTGCAGATAAAAATGATCTTGCCTACAGTACTAAACACCATCATCTCTCTCGTGGTCTTGTGCACACTCTGTCTATTATACAAGTTAGAGTGATGGAGGCTCTGTGCGGCCCTGGCCGGAGCCTGGGGGGTTACAGAGAGTCAAGCAAAGACACTGATACAGAGACTCCAGTTTATACTGCGTATGTACAACCTACTGTAAACCTTCTTTAAACTTGGAAATGCCTATAGGAGAACTGAGGAATGCAATTACAATCAGTGGGGTTTAATAACCTGATGGGACATCAGTCTTAGTTGGAGTTCGGAGGGTTTCGGATAAACGGCTTGACGGAGGGGTGTGGGAGGGCTGGGAAATTGGAGAGTGTAGCCCCTGTGGCCATCTCCTGTGTGAAAGTCCTCAGTGCACATTGAAAGGCCTGTCTTCTTCATCCTCATCATCCTGTCAATCTTCATCATCAGACTCTCCACAGTGGAGAGTTGTGGGCATTTAGCACCCCAAAGAAGCACTGTGGAGACACAAATGAAGATCAACAGTCACACACAGGTGCTGACATGTTCAAAATATGGAAGCGTTTTTGATCAACACTTCCAGGCTTCTTCCCACTTCTTCAACCATGTGTTGCAGGCTGGTGTTGTTACAGGTAATATAAAAGCAGTTGAGATGCAATCCCACGTTATCTCATATCTAAATTAAATCTCTAATCTTTTTCCCATTTTTCCTGGTTTGCTGACTGGAAACAAAATCCTACATACTTGAATATGCTATCACATTTTAGAGCAGATTACGCCAGGCTAGATTGGTAAGATTGCAGTCAATATTCTGTTAACCCTGCGAGGTGTAAGTGATCAGATGTGCTAGCCCTAATCCCACCCTGCAGCTGCGGAGAGCAGCACCAGCCACTGGTGGCAAACAGTGCTTTGCAATATTAAACTAACATAAATACCTGAACCCCCAAACTCTTTTGAGATTATCTACAATAAAACGCTGAATGTGTTTCAGAACATTTTTGCTTTTGTATGTATTACTTTACATAGTTGAGGCGTATCATTATCACATGATAAAATGTCTAAAAAGCTCCTGTTACAAACGTGTCCACAGCAGAGACAACATCAGCATGTCTATTACTGTTTGCATGAAACTCCTTATAACTGCGCTGTTACAGTTTGATGTTTGCACTTTCAACACAAGCTGAAACAGAGACTCAGCGAGGCTGCGTCTTGCTGCTAGCTCATCTTAAATTGGTCGTGTGACTTGGACGCGCCGTTTGATTCCAGAGGGTTACGTCGACTGAGAGCCTCTCGATCTGTTTATGACAGTGAATTAAAACAGAGCATTTAATTCTGTTTTAATTGAATTAAATATAATTACTACCAGATACATCTGCTAATTCATTTTCAGAACAGGCCGTACTCGCTCACGGTACATTTTGTGCTTCCTCGTGTTAACTTTCTCTCACTGGTCGTTTGTCGGTTCAGTTCTGTTTTGTACTGTGCTGAACTTGGACTGCTATTAACTGGCAACAACACAAGAGGCCAGAAGTTCAAAACAACAACAATAACAACAATAAGTGTGTTCTTCCACATGTGAACTCTTATTATGAAGGAGTAATGTGGGCCCTCACACATGCTTCACAACACGTTTCTAATGTTTTGCTGATAAGGCGAAGTGGAGGAGAGAACTTAACAGAGGATTCTTCTTAAGGGGCTTGAATTTCGTATTATACTTTTTTCTTGCAAACACACCTACCTATTCTAGCATTTACTTGCAAATTCAAAAGCCTGACTACAAAAATATTTGCGTGCTCTGCATTTATTGGGCGTCTTGTTATTGTTGGTGGCTGTGGGTGCCATAAATAGCTGCAGTCGTGTGCAATAGCTTGTTTTCTTAGTGTGAAGTGTTGTTTTTGCTTCTCGTTTGCAGCTTGAATATTTATCCCAGGTAGAACCCCCCCGTTGCTTTTTCCTTCGGTAGTTAGATCTCCGTTCATGGTTCCAGATTGAGACTAACGTGTTTCCTTCTCTCTGCTTCACGAGAGTCAAATTCCTTTTATCCTTTGATGTTGTTTAAATCAGTCTAATTAATTCAGTCTAATAACCTGAGGTGCAAACTGCAATCCAGTGATGAGAATAACGGCATGTCCACATCTATTCACAGCTAAAGATGGGAGAGGAAAAGGAGTCTGCGTATGGGTATCACCACAATCTCACAGGATGTAGACAGGATGCATTGTTTTTTTGCCCTTTGTTGGCACAACCAGTTTCAGTTCTGAGTCCAGAGCTTTGTTTATCAGTGTGCAGGATCTCTTTGGTCAATCCAACGCTCAGCTGGCACAAAAATGCCAGTTGTTTGACATTTATTTGAGCTAATGTATCACATTCATCTGTCAGTCACAGCCACAACTATTAAAATTTAAAGTTTTTTAAAGCAATGGATTTTTAAAATAGCATAGCATTTATATTTGCACACATTAACAGAATTATTTCCGAAAAAACAAAAATGATCACAACCAACATTATTAGTCCCCAGAATAAGTCAATCACTGGAACTCTGCACAGGAATGGACTGTGAGGTTGCAGACCAAGAAAAACTCCACTTCTGCAGAAGAGAACAACTTCAAGCCTGAGTCAAGTATGTTAAGGACAACACTGAGGAAGATTATGCTTACTGGAAACATCCGCTTTGGAAAGATGAGATGAAACTAGAGCTCTTTGGTAACACTCTTTGGGATGCTTCAGTGCATCTGGAACTGGGAATCCTTTCAATGTGGAAGGAATCATGAAGAAAGAAGCCTATGTGAAGATTTTCAGAGAAAACTTCAAGCAGTCACCAGCAAAACCGGGTCTGGGTCATCGCCAACGGCCCAAAGCACACATCACTCCTGATGAAGAACTACTTCCGGAAGACCAATGTGAACATTAATGGCTTTCTTGCACAAAGCCCATACTGAAAATCTGTGGGGTGAACTGAAGACCATGAAATATGGAGGAGCTTGAGAGATTCTCCAAAGAAGAATGTGCTGGGATTGCTCAGGAGACGTGTGTGAGGCTTGCTGGAAACTTCAACAAATAACTGTAGGCTGTCAAACAGCAAAAAGAGTTTTGATATATTTTAATTCATATTATCCAGGTGATTGAGAATAAAGTCTGCAGTGTTTTTTCTGTGCAAAATACATTTGGAAGAATCTTCCAACATCTTAAAGCTTTTAGCATGAAAAATTCTGTTCGGTTATGCTCTACAGCAGCTCTGTGAGAAAGGACGGCTGGGGAAACCTACAGAAATCATCATCAGCTGTCAGCTGCAGGGAAGAGTGCAGAGGTGATGATGACACGACAATGATTCTCACAGTGCTATACACAAACACTGAGAACTGCCAGGCTTCTCTTTCTCCACTGATTTCAACACACCACAACCTCATCTTGTGACACTCTGCTGTCAGATTGCTGTTGTAACTCATCTGTTGACTCACAGATCTCCTCTTCACATTATCTGATTCTTGGCTCTCGAAGTTACAGCTGACACCGGGAAGGTTTGTCTTGTAGTGCCGCAGGTCCTGCTGAAAGCTCAGAACCATCAAGACAGAAAAAAAGAGAGAGGTGCTCACAGAAACATTGTAGCTATCCTACACACGGGGGCTTTAAAAAGAAGAAGCTTCTTCTGAGCATCAGCACCTGCTCCAAAATACCAGGCCACCTCCTACAAAGTCTCTCATGTCAGTCCATGAATTACATGCAGCCACAAAGTCACTGACACTGTGGATGACCCATCCCACATCCTACACTGCGCACGCAGCCTCGGAATAGATTCCCTCCAGCAGACGTCTTCTCTGCCTGCAAGGCAAAACCGCTCGTAGGAGAAGTGCGTTTGTTCCTGAGCCCTCCACCGATCCGACCACACAGCAGCACCGTCAGCGCGAACAGCACGACTCTAAACTGAGTAGTTGGATCGGTGTTTCTTTTTTACACTCTCAAGTTTAAATTTACATTTAACTTAACTTTAACTTCAAAGACAGAGACAGAAGTGAATTTTACTGCTTAAAGGAGCCTTACAGGTTGTGTCGATGCCTCAGATTTAGAACTGTCCAGCACTGCTGGGGTCACACTGCAACAGGCGCACGATGGAGGGGTCGCTCTTTGCTCCTTTGATGAACTCTTCCAGAGACAGTTTGCCTGAAAAAAATCAGAACAGAAATGATCTTTTTATCATTCATATTTACGTCCACAGCATAAAGCTGAAGAAGAAAGAAGCATATATACCAAAACAGTGTGAGATAAAGTGCAACACACTGGTGAAGAAAATCCTCAAACAGGAAACGTTCCTGCATTTGTCTGGCAAGTGTGACTGTGTTGGGTCCATTAACATTTTAAGTGAGATTATAACAATTTCAGGGTTAATCTCTTATGCTTATTTGGTAGCATCTTTAGTTCAGAGGCTTTACAACATGAACGGTACATCCTAATATGTTCCACATCTCACCAAAAGGTGGCAGTGTTGAGACAGGTCCTCTCTTCTCTGATCACTAACAGACAGACTACAGCTATCTCCCCACGAGTTGCTCTCCACTTGTGATTCTCATTACAAGAAGTAAAAGACACTTCCATGCTTTAGTCATTGCGCTCTCTTCCTCTCGCATCATCTTGCTCCCATTTTTCTCCCTTTTCCTCTCCATCACTGCCCCACCCAGCACCATCATCCATCTTTCTCTTCCTCCTGCCTTATTTGTGCCTCTCCTGTGCTGAAGGATCACGACACAGAGCATTACTGATGCATCAGAGAGCTGCACAAGCATCCAAGTCTAACTGTGTGTGAATCTCAAGTGTGACGTATGTGAACGGTGCTGGCAGAGCAGAGCTTCTTCATCTCGTATTAAAGAAGACTTTGGTGACAGCTAATCAGGTGGTAGTTGGATGGAATCACTCAAACAACAAACTTTTCATCCAGAGTGATAAACATCCTAAAGCAATTATCAGTGAGAGAGATCAAAGATCAATACACAGGGAATAATAGACTTTGTGCACTTTATAAACTAGGCTGTGTGAAGTGTGGATAATTTCATGCTTTTATGCTGAAAGTTAAAACTACTGGAAGTAAATGCTACATCAGAGTACTTCTTACCGTCTCTGTTGGTGTCCATCTGCCTGAAGATCTTCTCTGTCCTCTTCTCAGGTGTCGACTCATCCTCGGGCATCTTCATCACGGACGACACCATCTTATATATCGCCTACAGAGAGACACACACACAGTAAGGTCAGATGAGCCGGGTATAATTTATGCCTTCAGCTGTAGAATCTCACACACATTTGAAAATGATTGCAGCTGACAGGCGTGATTCTTGCCGGCATTTTTCTATTGGTTGACACGACTTTTCATTGTCGCAGCAGATCTGCTGAAACCTCTTGTCTGCTTCTGCCTGCGTGTATCTTGCGTTATGTGATTGGAGATGTTTAGTGTCTTTTCAAAAACATTTACTGAATGCTTTATTGCTTATTTTCACTGCTGATTAAACAATGAACAGCTGAGTGTGAGGTCTGTTTTGCAGGCTGTAGATAATGTATGGCAAAAGGAGGGATTCCTGACGCAGTCCATGTGCTGAAGATTTTGACCTGTTCAGTTTTGTAAGAGATCGTCTATTCTATTTTTGTAACTAGGAGACTTTCTGGGTCATTATAAAAACTCTACTACAAAACTACAGTTGAATAGCTCACCTGCTCTCTCTCTCTCCCTGCTTTTTTAAAGGTTACCACATTTGCAACTACATAATCTTACTTTTGGACACCACTAGAGTAGCTTTGCATAATTCGCAGTTCATAATAATGCTTATTTAAACTAAACATTGTGATTGGCTGTCCCTCGCACATATACCCCCTGGTTTGTCCATCCATTC